ACTGCACTCCAGTCTGGGTGACAGAGTGAGACTCCAACTCAAAAAAAAAAAAAAAATGATCCTTCCACCTCAGCCTCCTGAGTAGCTGGGAATGTAATGAAGGTTGTATAGTGTCTGTTTTAAATATAAAAATTAATAAAGTTCATATATGAATTTATTTTATTTTTTTGAGTTGGAGTCACTCTGTCGCCCAGAATGAAGTGCAGTGGCATGCTCACGGCCACCGCAGCCTCGACCTGCTGGGCTCCGGCGATCCTTCCGCCTCAGTCTTCCAAGTAGCAAGAACTACAGGTGCATGGTACCACACCCGGCTAATTGTTGATGTAGTGTAGAGACGAGGTCTCGCCAAGTTACCCGGGTGGTTCTCAAACCTGCGGGTTCAGGCAATTCGCTTGCCTTGGTCTCCCAAAGTGCTGGTACAGGCTGAGCCACCTAGCCCTGCCATATATGAATTTGAATATCTTTTAATTATGTCATCTTATTTAGAATACCTGCCCCACCCTGCCCAGATCTCACATTTTTCATTGCTCTGGAAAAGCATGTGACTCTGGGTAGTTTGCCTACATTTCTAAATGGATAAATCTGTTTTGTTTGAGCCTTTCTATAGGTCATGAAGGGGAAAAAATGTTGGTGGCAGTTTATGAATTTTCCATTCTCAGATAAAGCAATTTCTTTTCTTTCTTTTTTTGAGTTGGGAGTCTCACTCTTTCACCCAGACTGTAGTGCAGTGGCCGCTCCCAGCCACCACAGCCTCAACCTGCTGGGCTCTGGCAATCCTTCCGCCTCAGTCTTCCACATAGCTGGAACTACAGGCGCGCGCTACCATGCCCGGCTAATTTTTTGATTTATTGTAGAGATGAGGTCTCGTCTGCCCAGGCGGGTCTCGAACCCGCAGGCTCAAGCAATCCACTCACCTCAGCCTCCCAAAGGCGCGGGATTACAGGCTGAACCACCGAGCCCGGCTAAGCAATTTCAATCATTCTTTTTTTATGTTTTGAGTTGGAGTCTCACTCTGTCACCCAGGCTGGAATGCAGTGGCTTGCACACAGCCACCGCAGCTTCAGCCTGCTGGGCTCAGCTGATCCTTCCGCTTCAGCCTTCCAAGTAGCTGGAACTACAGGCACATGCTTCCATACCAGGCTCATTTTTTGATTTACTGTAGAGATGAGGTCTTGCCAAGTAGCCCAGGCTGGTCTTGAACCCCTGGGCTCAGGCAATCCTCTCATCTTGGCCTCCCAAAGTGCCGGGATTATAGGTATGAGACACCACACCCAGCTCAGTAATTCTTAATAACATGACAGATTTTTTATGATCTCTTAACTGACATTAGTTTAGAGGCTTAGAGAGAAGCACAGTAAAAGTATTCTTTAGACTAAGGCAAACTCTAGGCAAAGTACTTCTCATTTAGGTTATTGTATTAGTTTGCCAGGGCTACCTAACAGAGTACCACAGACTGGCTGACTTAAACAGCAATTTATTTTCAGTTCTAGAGGCTAGAAGTCCAGTGTCAGCAGGTTTGGTTTCTTCTGAGGTGTCTCTGTTTGGCTTGCAGAAGACCACCTTCCTCCTTGTAAACACATGCTCTTTCCTCTGGGCACATGTGTGTGTCCTAACCTCTTCTCTTTTTAAGGACACTACTCTTAGTGGATTAGGGCCCACTACTAAGACCTCATTTTCCCTAAATTACCTATTTAAAGACCTTATCTCTAAATAGAGCTTCAATCTGAAGTACTGGAGATTAGGGCTTCAACATATGAATTGGAGGCAGAGGGGAAACAATTAGCCCATAACCATTATCATTCTATTTTATGAAATAAGCAAAGTTAATTATGAAGCACATTTCTTTCTTTCTTTCTTTTCTTTTTTGAGTTGGAGTCTTACTCTGTTGCCCAGGCTGGAGTGCAATGGCACGCTCACAGCCACCGCAACATCGACCTGCTGGGCTCAGGCGATCCTTCCACCTTAGCCTTCCAAGTAGCTGGAAATACAGGGTGTTATCACGCCCGACTTATTTTTTGGTTTTGTAGAGACGAGGTCTCACCAAGTTGCCCAGGCTGGTCTCAAACCCCTGAGCTCAGGCAATTCTCCTATCTCAGCTTCCCAAAGTGCTGGGATTACAGGCTTGAGCCACCACGTCCAGAGATAAAGCACATTTCAATAAAGAGAATCTTTCAATGGGAATATCTTTTCTCCCCTTCTGCTAATGCAGCATATCAACAATGGAAGAAAGAGCTTAAGCTAAAAAATGGGGACAAATTTGAATATCTCACTATCCTCCAGATCCTCTTCCCAAATATTGTTTCTCCCCAATCTTTCCTCAAATTATGAGTATAAATTTCAGAAACAGAGCAACTCCATTCCATACAAGCAGCTTCTATAACTTGGCTCCTTTTTTCCATTTTATCTGAGATCTTAATGAACTCTCTTTCCCCTACCTGGTTCTTCCCCTCTTGTCTGATTCCTCTTTCTTCTTTTTTCTTTTCAATGTTACTGTGTGCCAGGACCTAGAGATACAAAGTGAGAAGGGATACAACATTCTTTCACAGAGTTTACTGTCTGGTGAGAAGACAGACCTGGTTGATTTCAGATAATAACTAAAATGTGAAAGTAAGGGGACAGCAGCTAGAATAGCTTGGCTGAGTGTGTGTGTGTGTGTGTGTGTGTGTGTGTGTGTGTGTGTGTGTGTGTGTGTGTATTTAATTTTTTTTTAATCTTTAAAAAATCATATTTAAATTTATTGTTGGCCAGGCGTGGTGGCTCACGCCTATAATCCCAGCACTTTGGGTGGCCGAGTTGAGAGGATCGCCTGAGCCCAGGGATTTCGAGACCAGCCTGGGCAATTTGGCAAGACCGTCTCTTCAATAAATAAAAAATTAGCCGGGTGTGGTAGTGCGTGCCTGTAGTTCCAGTTACTTGGAAGACTGAGGCGGACGGATCGCCTGAGCCCAGGTTGAGGCTGTGGTGGCCGGGAGAGTGTCACTGCACTCCAGCCTGGGCGACAGAGTGAGACTCCAACTCAAAAAAGAAACAGACAAAAAAAAAGTTGGCAACTGTGTCTACATGACGTATGTCCTCGGCTCCCAACATTAGTTGCTAGAAAAATGGAATGAAGCCGGGCTCGGTGGCTCAGCCTGTAATCCCGTGCCTTTGGGAGGTTGAGGTGAGTGGATTGCCTGAGCCCGCGGGTTCGAGACCCGCCTGGGCAGTGAGACCATATCTCTACAATAAATCAGAAGAATCAGCCGGGCGTGGTAGCGCATGCCTGTAATTCCGGCTACTTGGAAGGCTGAGGCGGAAGGATCGCCGGAGCCCAGTAGGTCGAGGCTGCGGTGGCCAGGAGCGGCCACTGCATTCCAGTCTGGGTAACCGAGTGAGACTC